CACACACACACACACACTGGTGTATGTATCAGACCACTCCCTAACATGGCTGCAGAGTTGTTTTTTCCATGAGAGATGTGGACGTGATGCTCGGCAGGTGACAGATATTCAGCAAATCTTCACATTTTATCTTCAGAAGGACTTTTTGTAAAGCAGTTTTTCTATTTTTTTACCACCACACAGACCAAACAGAGCAGAGGAAAGAGGAAAACATTTAAAAGTCACCACCACATAGAGTCGAACTGATTATTAGGCTGAGATTAGAGCCAGTAGGAGAGGTTTTACAGTATTTACAGTGTCTGTGGGGGTCGGTTGATAAGGTTACAGGTAATTTAATAATTACTTGGCCCGGCTGCGAAGATTCTTGGCCTCCAAAATCAAGACCCAACGTCTGACCCATTTTCTATTTTAAAACAAAATCTCTGCATACGCTGCAAATTCAAGACTCCTCTGCGCTGTTAATAACTCCAGAATTATCTCTTCACTGAGCTTCACAGTGAGTTTCAGCTCATTGTTTAGCTGTTGACTCTCACCGCTCACCACACTGTCTGTACGCTACCTGCTCAGCCCCAGGAGGCGGCGGAGAACAAAACCAGAGCTAAAAGAGAGGGAATATTATCCGTAAGGGCTTTATAAGGCGATAATATGTGAGATTTGTGTTGTTTTGATGCCCGTGTGGCCAAAATCCTAATGAATGCATCTTAAAGTTTGAGGAATTAGGACTTGATTGCTATGAGACTAAATTCACATGATGCTAATCTGACCTATGAGCAGAAGTTTTGAGACATTTTTGTTAAAACGACATTAAAACTGCTCGTGGAGGTAAAATGTTTTGTTAATGGTCAACAGTCAGACACATGAAAGACTTGGACTTGGACTTGTGATGAGGACTTCAGATTCTACTCAAACTTCTTCTTATTGACTTTATTGGCTGCAACTAACGATCATTTTCATTATCAGTTAGTCTGTTGATTCGTTGTTTGGTCCAGAAAATGGTGAAAAACGTCAATCGTGGTGACGTTTACTGACACACAGGACTAAAGAAACCAGAAATATTCACATTTGAGAAGCTAAAATGATGAATTGATTATCAAAGTAGTTGCAGATTAATTTAATATCGATCAGAAGCTTCCTGTTGATTAAATCTGTCTTTTCTCCCCTCAGGGCTCTTTTGTATTTTTGCACTCGTTGAACCGACCCTGCCGTTGAGCGATGTCCAGCCTGCGTCTGCTGACCCTCAGATGATCCATGACCACACCTTATTGATGCACTTTAGCACCTTTCCGGAGCCTTCCCGCCGCCGTGAACCCCGCAGCTGATGACCAAAGTGTGCGCCACGCCTCCCCGCCGTCGCCCCGAGCCACGCGCCTCCCCCAGCCCCTCCCTCAACCTCAGGCCCCCCCAGGACGCCCAGGGATGTTCCAGAGGTTCGCCAGCGCTCTGTTCGGGGACGACGTGGAGGAGCTGAGTCGAAGCAGCAGACCCGGAGACAGCAAAGAGGAAGAGGAGGAGGATGAGGACTGGATCCTGGTCAACTACCTGGGTAAGTCTCATGAGAATACAATGACCTGGTAAAACCGGTAATAAATGTAATTAAATGATTTAAAAAAACAATAAATAACTGATTTCTAAGTCGTTTTGAAAATTGAAATTTCCTTTTTGGGCATTTTTGCTACAAAAATGACTTTAAAAATAGTTGCTGATTAATAAATGAACTGTTTTATCTCTACACTGGACAATAAATCCATTAAAAACTGTTTAAAAATCCAGAAATTCCTCCAGAAATGACAATCAGCACGCTTTAATTTAAAGAACATACAGCAGCAAAACCTGAAACCACATACGAAACCTCAAATAAAATCCCCCCAAAACCCCGAAGGCACACGCAGTGGTCACGTGACACAAAGTAAAAACAGCTCTGACAGTTTTACTCCAGATCATCAGCTGCCAACTCGCTGACCTGCAGCAGTTTATAAACCTGCACCTTTCTACTGTCTGTTTAAAAACTGAAAATCCAATTATCTGAATTTCAGGCCTTAAAATGTCTTAAATGTGACGTTGTATCTGCTGTAGGTGGATCGGTCTGTATCTGTTTGTTTGCTGCTACAGTCTTTGTTTTCAGGAGATATCTGTCGTTCCCTGTTGTTCCTTCTGGCAGATCACCCAAATAAAGTGACATACATGGAAAAGGAACCTGTCTCCTGCTGCACGGTTTTCCAAATACATCCCAAAACAGTGTGAATGCAGCAGCTGCATATAAAGAGGATATAAAACCCTCCTGATTGTGTGCACATTCTGTGGCTCTGCAGCTTTATTATCACACATGTTGAGTTAATATTTCAAGTTAAAACAATCTAACTCAATTTTGGACAAAAGTGTCATAAATGAGACTTTTCAGAGAATAAATATTAGCAGAAGAAAAAGATGAATTTACCTCTAATTTCTGCGTAAAAACATGTAAACATGTCTCTATACATAATTAAAAATAGGGTCATTTAAAAGGACGAGCAGAGCAAAATCCTCCGGTTGATGAAGACTGTGAGATCAGCTGAAAGCTGCAGGGTAAAGTTAGTGAAGAGACGTTGAGCCGAGACGCAGAGAGAGACGATGAACCTGCACACGGAGGATTCAGGAAGGACGATACTGTATAACTTTAGACTCTTTTAATGGCCGCAAAAAGTCGAGCCAAGTTTCCAGCGGAGTCTCTGAGATCAAAAAAAGATCCCAGTCAAAACACACACACACACACACACACACCACACTACAGCATCTGTATCACCAGGAAACCATTGAACACAACCTGCAGTGACTTTCCAGGTGGCACTCTCAGCAACAGCTTCGGTTTGGCCCCACCGTTCACCCGCCGCCGGTCTTGACTCAACTTGACCCGTCTCCGATTCCACAGCCGTGTGAATATTTCAGGCGGGAGGGGAGGGGGAGGACCAGAGGCCGGCTGGTCCACTTCAGGCCGGGGGGGAGGTGGTGTGGCGGCTGGGTGCCATCAGGCAGTTTATGGTAGTCAACCTGTAAACAGGTC